TCCCACGTGTAATAGCTGCTGTATATTCTTTATTTCAGGAGTACATAAATTATTAATCAAAAACCAAATAAATAAATTCGCCGCTTTGGGAAACAGCAGTACCTGAGCAATTGTGAATTGAAAAATCATATGGACATTGGAAATCTAAGGCTAAATGCAACAATTCTTGTTGATACATATGAGTTTTCGAGATATTTATGTGTTACGGCATGAGGCTTCAAGTGCACTAAAGAACTTTATGTGTCATCTAGTGGGAGCTTTGTACGACAGACATCTGAGACTGGGCAGTAATTTGTTATTACACTTGATGAACGGATATCTGAACCTTCGCTGTCATATAGTAGGGAACTATGTGTGCTAGCGTTCGAATCGCAATTGTCGTTTGGTGGGACTCTTAGGTCCACAAATGTTTGAAACACAACGTGTCATGTAGAAGGGTACTCGGCTTCATTGATTTTCAAAATTATTTGTCGATGGACGCTACCATCCATATCTTGGAGTGGGCTATTGTTCGCCACAGATTTTCCGGACAGTACCTCTCCAGGAGTCACTAGCTCCGTTCTCCTAATATCTCAGTTTAAACCAGTATTGACCATTATCTATGTTGCACGACATGATCATATCGCGGGAATCTTGCAATGGGGTTCAGTTAACCCAACACAGAGAATCCTGGTGAGCGAAGTAAGCAGGATGAACTGTATTTCATGCCTGTTACCGAAGTCACCATACCATATTTTCTTTTGCGATGTAAAAGCAAAGAAAGTAAAGGAACCTTCTCAACGTCTTCAGACGTGTAAGGCTTATAGAAAAAGACTCATATTTTACAGCCGGAAGAATGAAATGCGAGGGTGCTCCACGCAGTAAACGCCGTCGCGAAACTACTAATCCTGTGGTAGTTTCTGAATCGTCAGAGAACGACGGGCTGGGTGAACCCCACTCGCCCGGAGAGATCCATGAAGTCGACTGCGGAGGAGCACCTTTGATGATTTCTGAGGAAGTGCGTTCCAAGATCAGGTTTCCACCGGCGAGCGATAAGGTGGTGTGGTGTAAGTTGGAGGCTACACTGTGTGAGATACTTAAACATGATTTAAACAAGAAGTCGTTAGGCGACAAGCTTACACAATTCGGTGATGTAATATATGAACACTGCTCCCGTGAGTTCGGTACAGTAGAAAAGGCACAGCCGGATGACAAGCAAAATACTAGCAGGAGGCAGAGGGACATTCTGAAGTGTCGGGCAGACAAGAATGCCCTCAGAAAACGGTTCAAAGCTGCTACAGGCAGCGAACGGGAGGGGCTGTACGAAGTTTGGTTGCATTTAAAGAACAAACACAGTGCCCTCTGTCGCGTGAGCGTTTCTGTGCCAACAGACGAAGAACCAAAAGGGAGCGAGAGAAATTCTTTTGGGGACCCTTATCAGTTTGCTCGAGGTCTATTCGAGCAACCGAAGTCTGGGACTATGGTTGTCAGTCAGGAAGAACTTGAGTTACATCTACGCAAGATGTACTCTGACAAAAAGAGGAGAAAGCCTCTCGATGACAATCCAGAGATCCTTAGCGGCCTCAAGCAGCCTAAGTTGCCGAAGGTACCATTTAAAATGGTACCTCCCCTTTGGTGTGAGGTTGAGGAAGTTGTCAAAAAGGCCAGCGGCAAGTCTGACCCAGGTCCGAACGGTGTTCGGTACGTTCTTTACAAGCGTTGCCCGAAAATCCTAAAAATGCTTCACGTCTTGTTGAGACAAGCGTGGATCCGCAAACACATATGTCCAGAGTGGCAAAAGGCAAATGGGGTCTACATTCCCAAAGAGCAGGACTCAAAGAGTCTTTCCCAATTCAGGCCCATCTCACTGTTGAATGTGGAGGGTAAGATATTCTTCTCGGTCATGGCTCGCCGGCTCACACAGTATCTGATGGCTAACAAGTACATCGATACGAGTGTTCAGACGGGTGGTATTCCGGGCGTTCCTGGGTGCCTTGAACACGCGATCATGATTTAGGAGGCTATCCAGAGAGCCAAGCATGAGAGAACTCAATTGCACGTGATTTGGTTGGACTTAGCCAACGCCTACGGGGCAGTCCCCCATAGGCTACTGTGGCGAGCCCTTCGCATGTTTCACGTACCGGCACAGGGCAATGATATGATCGAGCAATATTTCTCTAAGTTCGCTTTGCGCTTCTCTACCTCGACGTTTACCACGAGATGGACTGAGTTGCAGATTGGGATAGCTATGGGGTGTACGATCTCACCCATACTATTTGTCATGGCCTTGCAGATCATGTTAGACGGGGCGGCCGGCTACGGACAAGGCCTTCAAATTGGGGTCCACTGGATGCCGCCACTACGCGCATTTATGGATGACACGACTATAATAACGGGTAGCGAGGAGTCTGCCCGCACGATCCTGAAAAGATTGGACGCGGTGGTCCAATGGAGCGGAATGCAGTTCAAACCGCAGAAGTCGAGGAGTCTGTCAATCCATAAGGGCAAGGTGTCGGCAACCTGTTTTACGGTGGCAAGGAACAAGATCCCCACGGTTCTGGAGGAACCGGTGAAGAGCCTTGGTCGCGTTTACGATTCGAAGTTATCTGATAGAGCGGAGGTCCGGCGAATACACGAGTCACTGGCTACAGGCCTGCTCGCGATCGAGCGTTGCAGGCTGATTGGGAAAATCAAGGTATGGTGTCTCAAATTCATGTTGATTCCTATGGCCACTGTTAGTCTACGAGGTGACGATGACTGCAGTGGAAACCATGGAGAGGAAGATCAACACAGCCTTGAGAAAGTGGATTGGTGCACCGCCTTGTCTGACCGACGTGGCTCTGTATTGCAAGCAGGCAAAGCTGGTACTCCCGTTCAAATCGATAACCAAAGAGTTTAAAGTCGGCAAAGTAAGACTCGCCATGCTCTTGTGCGAGTCTTCAGACCCAAATGTCATCGCTGTCCAGCCCGCTCTAAAGACTGGGCAGAAGTGGAGAGTCTCGATGCGATCGAATCTGCGCAGAACGCACTAAAATTGAAGGAGATAATGGGATACACTCAAACCGACCGTCGAGGCATGGAAAGGTCAACTGGTGGTCAAAGGCCTCAGCCAAAGAGCGCTGTGACATGGTAATACAAACGGTGAGGGACAACGAAAACGAGGTTCGGGTTCAGAAAGCAGCCCAAAAGTCGCAGCAGGGCCATTGGGTCAGCCTGGAGAGCGAATTGCCAAGAGTACTCACATGGGGTGAGATCTGGTGGATGACCCCGCTGCGACTGAGCTTTATCGTTCGTTCGGCGTACGATGTATTACCGTCCGGTGTTAACATGGTTAAGTGGACTGCGACCAACGATCCGACTTGCCCGTTGTGTAAAGCGAAGCAGACGCTAGAACACGTCCTGTCCGCGTGCAGGAAAGCCTTAGGCCAAGGCCGATATACCTGGCGACACAACAAGGTGCTAAAAGAGTTAGCAGCCGTTGTCGACCAGGCTATAATGAGTGCTAACGCCAGAGCCAGTTCTACTATCGCCCCCATACGCTTCCTCAAGGCTGGGCAGGTTAAAAAAGGTAAGGTCAACCGAAACGCATTCGCTCCATCTGTGCTAGACTCTACGAGGGACTGGTTACTGGTGGTTGATCTGCCGCGCCATGATAGATACCCAGAGTTGATCCGGAAGACCGGTCTGCGACATGACATAGTCCTCCACTCTGCGGAGAAACGAAGCTCATCCTGATTGAGTCGCGTATGGATGAAAATCACCTGCATAAGCTCGAGAAATACAGTGATTTAGCAGCCGGTCTGAGGAGAAACGAATCGTACACAGTACGGGTCTTTGCCGTCGTCTCCACTTCACTGTACAATGTGGTGAAAGAACTAGGATTGCGCAGTAATGAACGTAAACGAACACTTAAAAAACTGGGCGAGGCAGCCGAAGTGGCCTCGAGCTGGCTTTGGACGCAACGTAACAACGTAGGCGACGGGCCTCGGTGAGCTGGTCCGGGTCTCTAGTGGAAAAGGGTTTCTCATCCTTTGAAAGTCCATCGTGTCCGAATTGTCTGCCAGTGTTCTTCTGCCACCATTAACAAAAGTCCAACATGTGGATTGGATTGGATTTTTTACCCCACCAGGACATCACACAAGGTAAACAAATGACACAAAGTGCCACCATGCGGTGAGGATCACCGTTGTCGAAAACCGCGTTCAGACATTTGGCCATAATGATGACCTGCCTATACTGCGGCCCCTGGCAAAAGCCAGAGTGGGGCTTCAAATAACAAAAAATAACGTCCTAAGAAGGACGAAAAGCAGTAATCCGGTAAACCAAACGTAAGCTTGTCGCTCGGTCGTCCAGGAACGCTTACTGGTCTAATTAGGCTACTTCTTATCTCACAGTACCTTCTGCGAAACCACCAAGTCGTCTTGTCCTTATCCGAAAGAAAACACCATCCGGTAATCTCGTGCAGCAGGGTACCAGCCTCTGAGCTTCATGAACTCAGGTTGGCCCACCTCCGAAAGTGTATAGGAATCATGGGCCGAAACACTTGTCGACGAGGATAATTTCTACTGATGACTGGTAGATCCCTGCTGTACTTGCTCCCTGTAAGTTTATTCCTATTTACAGACCATTCGACACTTGGCGGGTGATGTTGCGACCATCACGCCGGTCGCCTTAAGGGCGGAAGTTGGGGGGGGGGGGGGGGGGGGGAGGACGTTTGCCCCCTAACAGACATGTCGTAAACGGTGAATAATTAGGGGTATTTTCTATATAGTCCGAGTGCCTTCATCTGAGAGGCAAAGACCCAACTGTCTGAGCACAAATAAGCCAGTTATGTAAAAAACAGATGCGCACTCAAAACCCAAGTTCTGGAAGTGGACGAACATATTCAAAGTTCCGCTGCATTTTTCAACCGGTGAACGCTAATAAAATGAAGAATTGTACTAAAGTATCCTGTGTACATAAACAACACAAAGAATATCAAGGACACACAAGTTTGAAAATGTGTTCTTTGTTTACACTAGATTGCTGCTTTAGCACCCAATGGTTCGTCGTTTGCAAATACTAAATGCGTCATCGCAGGATGGGGCAGAACATCATATGATTCTAGTCATGCAGCCAATCTTATAGAGGTTAAGGTACCGGTCATTCCAAATGCTCAATGCAAGATGAGAAATTCTGGAATTGGTGCCAAACACATCTGTGTCTATGACGCTTCAGGTAAGTTTCAACTTTCACAGAACGCTCCTATACATACTATAACATGTATCATAGAGATAAAGAACAGAATAGGACTGGCTAAAACAGCATTTTATAAAATTAAGGACATTTTATGCAATAAATCCATGTCGCTTGAGGTTATGAAAACAATTATCGCATACTTTATAGAGCCAGTTTTAATATATACATGTTTGCGCCATCTATGTACAATTATAGAACCCTCAACCAAGTAAGACTGAGCCATCACCTGCACCTCACTAAATGTCTCCCCTACAGTGTATATCCACCCCCCCCCTAAAAACTTTGTTATCAATATTGTACTGTTAGGAACCCTTCTTCACACCTTTAGGTGTATTGAGCACATAAGGCTATACCTATAATTTATAGACCCTGGTGGGTGATGTGGGCAGCTTAACACCGGGCACCTTTACTTCCTAGGAATGTACTTTCTACAGGGTGGGTGGACTCGGGAGCCAATTCATGTTCTTACAAAAGTATGATCGAGCTCACGACCCTCCGATCTGCAGGCGAGCGTTTATATATGGATCTAATTAGTTTCGGTACACTATTGTCAGGTTCTTTTCAGTGAAGAAATATTTTTATTATTATTATTGTAGTTTCAGTAGAAGCCCATTCAATTTTAACTATTATCATAATTTCCTCAATGATCAACTTAAATATCATTGCGTATCACAGTCATCACCCAAATTAATATTATTAATATTATTATTATTAATATTATTATTATTATTACTATTACTAAGAGGGTCGTATTTAGGATGTATGACGTCCAGTGAAATCAATTATGTTACGCCCTTTTACCTCAGCCTTACATTAGCATCGCTGTTGCCATTCAGCTATAAAAAATAGAACGCTGTTCTAATCCGGGTTACTAATAATTAAAGCAACAATGTACTGCTAGATATTTTTCGACGCATCTTAAAAGTTCTCCAACTCCCCCATACCTCCGCCCTCCCCCCACCCTCAATCACCCTTTGCAGCTGCACATATTTGACAATGCCTAGCTGAGGCCCTGATTATTATTATTATTATAACCGATGTTTTTTTTTCCCAGTTGAATCTGCCTTGAGGCCAAGTGCTTGCCAAGGTGACAGTGGTGGTCCGCTGATGTGTGGCAGCAACTTCCAATATTTGGCTGGCATCTTATCCTTTGGCTCAGCAAAATGTTATGGTAATTTTTGACTTGTATGTAAAATTATCATATATAATTTTTGTTCACCTAACATAATATCTACATTGCTTACATTAGAAGGTAATTATATTCCCATTATTGACGCCTTGTGCTTAACTAAAGCAAAAATATGTGTGATGACAGGTAGTCGCTGTTGCGTTGCGGCTAGACACCGGCGAGCGGATCGATAGGTGGTGGGTTCACTCCCTGGTGGAGCCAGATTTTTTTAAAAATTGAACTTGGCTCCTAGGTAAACCCAGCCTTAAGTTGGTGCAGTCCTGGGAAGTAAAGTGGGACTAAGTGGTGATGATCACATCACCCATCTTGTGCCGTTGGTCTATAAAATATAGGTCTAGTCCTGTATAGACAATACGCCTGAAAGGAGTGGAAAAGGGTCCTTAACTTTACTATATTCCCAATACGCTCTCAGGAAGCGTTCACAGGAGCTCCAATTCTCCCATAAACGTGTGCATCAGCATCCCGAGCTTGATAGTGCTAGACCTTTGCTGTTTAAAACAATTCTTAAATACTTCTTGGCGTCATCTTCTGCCCTATCCAGACATGATTTCCCTTTTGTATGTCTCTTTTTCTTTCTTTTTCTGAAGAGTTTGTGGTAAAAATATGCTTGAGAACTGAGGTTATCTTCAGAAATGCACGAGCCCTCCAAATACTGATCCTGTAGTTCCTGGTTGGAGTGTCAAGAAGGTATCTCACTAACAGACATGGGGTGTCTGTTGCGCATCCAACAATAATGCGCATGGTTTCGCTTTACATTTTTATTTTTAAATTTTCCCGTCTGAGTATAACTGAGTATAACTGTAAGTGAAAATCGCAAAAGCATGTTCGATAGGAGAATAAACCAGTCCCTGGAACAGAACCAGAAGAAATCTCTGCTCAGGATTTTCGGCAGCCAGGACCTTCGTTGCTGACAGGTTTTTGCCTGCTTTTGTGATGACATGGTCAGTGTTTTCTTTGACGTAAAGGCTGCGAACAAATCTTACACCGAGATACGTCATCAGGTTTGTTCTGTAAAAATCTTCATGACTGATTTTCCCTGCTGGTAAGACTGTTTGATAAATTGCGTTTTCAAGGGGAACCACACTATTGACATCTTCGATGGGTTGACATGTGCATTTTAATCTAAACACCAGGATGAGATGCGATCAAGTTTGCTCTGCATTGCATTAGCAATCTCCTGCCTGTCTTTTCCATGTCGATACACCAAGATGTATAATCCTGCCACTCCCATGCAAACTATTGCTCAGTTACAAGCACCGTATATACATTAAACAACACTTGAGACAAATTTGGTTAACGTTTCTGAAGAACAACAACAACACAACATGAGTATCACCCGTCTTAGGAACAGTATCTCGACTAGCCAGCGGATGATGAAAGGAACTTCCAATGGAAGAAGTGTTTGCATCAGGTAATCAAATGTTATTCTGCTGTATGCATCCTCTGCAGGACCAGCAAGATAAAGGGTTGGGACAGGAAAAAAAACCCCGTTAAAACAAGTACACCCACCACAGCTAGAACAAAGAAAACAAAAACAAACAAAAGGAGCAGACAAAACAGCACGAAAATGGTACCCAGACATGTATGGATGGGCGATCGGATAGGGAACCATCACTGTCATTCTTGAACAAGTATACAATTTCAGCCAATCGTCATCAAGCAAATAAATCAGAGCACAAGCATATAAGAACGCTGTTCGTACCAGACTAATCAATATAATCCAGTTTCGTCCTTTTGAGGATGACATTTTTTGTCATTTGAAGCCCCACCCTGGCTTTTGCCAGGAGCCGCAATTTAGGCAGGCCATAAAAAGGCCAATTGTTTGAACGCGGTTTCTGAGACCTCTCCACGGCGATCCTCATCTACATAGTGGCACTTTGTGTGATCTGGTGTTTATCGCTTGTGTGATGTCCTGGTGAGGTAGAAAGTCAGTCAGTCAGACCAGGCTAAATATAATTCTCACCTCCTTTTTAAGATGATTTGTTTTTTGTTTTTTTTTGTTTTAGAAGCCCTACCGTGGCTATTGCCAGGGGCCGTCATATAGGCAGGCCATAAATGTGGCCATTTGTCTGAACGCGGTTTCTTGGACCTCTCCACGGTGATCCTCGTCCACATGGTGGCACTTTGTGTCATCGGGTGTTTATCGCTTGCGTGATGTCCTTGTGGGGTAGAAAGTCAGTCAGTCAGACCAGGCTAAAAGCAGTCTGAAAGTGGTCGACCTTTTCATTTTTTTCTCAGAAGGAATAAATATTGGAACCAGGCTAAATACTGTCAATTTTAAATTTTTATTTTTCTGAAATTCGAATTTCAATTGGAACAAGGGCGCTATACTGGAAGGCAAAGAAGACGAATAAATTTAAACAAAACTGCCGTCGTTAGCGCCTACACACAGTGGGATTTTCGTAGGAGGTGATTTCGGCATTTATTGTCTGATTAGTAGTAGCAGCAGAAGTGGTGGTAGTTGCAACTGAAAATTAGAAGAGAAGGAGGAGGAGGAGGAAAAAGAAGAAGAAGAATTTTGGGTACGCAAGCCCGTCTTACAATCGGTACCTCTAAACACATCTTTTTTCGTTCATACTTCCAGTAATTTAGGGAGCTGCTGAGACTCAATGGATGAGAGATGCCTAATGCGCAACTACAACACGCTGGGTTCGAATCCCCACATCGGATACGTTTTGCAAAAGACTTCGCTTACAAGTTTAGTTTTAAAAAAAGTAAAGGACCCTTTTCCACACCTAAAGTCGTATTAAGGCATATAGGGCTAGACCTATAGTTTATAGACCAAACGGCACTTGGTGGTTAATGTGGTTAGCACCACGCTGAGGCTTCCAGGTGCACCAAGGGAAAAAATTGTACCAGGGAACTAAAATAGGCTGATAAATTATAAGTCTAAAATATGCACTATTTGATGGACCAGTTGCATGAACAGGAATATTTACTTTTATTTCGGCTGTCATTATTGTTAGATCAACATGTTGTACATGAATTTTTATGAATATTTTACAGGTACATACCCAACTGTGTACATCCGGGTGTCAGACTATCTAGACTGGATTGCAAGTCATTAACACATTGGAGTTAGTTATTATTTATCTTGTAATATGTCTAATTCGATTTTTTTTTCTAGCTTTCTACACGCATACACCTTGTTAAAAGGTCACTCTTACACAAAATACATAGTTACGAAATAAGGAAGAAGCAAAGAATATATAGCACAATATCTTGCCTGCGCTGTTTGGTTGTATCTCGTTCGGCGCATTGCTAAAGATTTAACATCAGCACGTCAGAAAATACAACACACGAATACCTGCAACTGAAACACACACATCAATTCCCAGTGCCTTGTGTTATGCTTTTAAATCACCCTAAAGGGAGCATTGTCATTGTTCATTTAAAGATCATCCTATATCGCACATTGAACATGACCATAAGTGCTCCGATTTCTTCCGGAGTACGTCTCCAAGTGTTTTTAGGTTAATAACTCCCAATATGTTTTAGCTGATGTAACGATAGACGGCTCCCGAATGGTTTTCCTGTCTCGCTATTCCAACTGGTACACCCAGGGTATTCAGTGAGAAATCATTTTCCACGAAACTGAAAGCCTCACATTGTTTAGTCGCTTGTATGTCATTGTTGATGTCTCTCTTGTCCATAGATGGCTGATACCTGACAATCGCATTGCTAGCCAGGGGATTTACTCTCTCATTTTCACACCAGCATAGCCTTGGTCAAAATTTTTGCGAAACCACCTAGAAACTAAATTTAAGACTGCTAATACAAGCTGTGCTCAGATGTGGAAGGTGGCTCCATACAGCAGAACACATACTCCAAGACTGCCCAGCATATAACACAGTAAGGCAAGCATTTTAGAAAAAAAGCACAGGGTAAAATTTAAACTCTAAGGACATCTAAGTGAACTAGAAAAAAAAAAAAAAAAACACACACACATTAAAATAGACAAAGTTAGATTTATACAAGAGACAAAATTGCAAGTACAGACAAGTTATTTTATCCGAATAAATGCAGATTAACAAGTTTCTGTTTTTAATTACTAAAAACCCTCATGTTGGTTGCGATGTGGGCTTATTCGCTCGCCTGCTGACTCTAAATTATTGGGTTCGAGTACAAATCAAATAAAATCCTACTCGATTCGTATTCGAACCCACAACTTTGGAGTCGGCCCACATTGCAACGATCATTAGTGTATTCAGTAATTAAAAACAAAAACTTCTCCTTCTGCATTTATTCGGATAAAATATCCTGTCTGTACTTGCAATTTTGTCTCTTGTAAAAATCTAACTTTGTTTATTATAATGTTTTTTTTTTTTTTTTTATGTCACTTAGTTTGAAACCCCTTCAGATTTATTGGGCAGGACTTCACCTGACACCTTACGCAGGCTGAGTCGGCTTGGAAAACAAGATCATTTTTTTAAAGGAGATTCTAATTTGAGTTTGAACCCACTACTTTTTGATCCGCAGTCGAGCGACTAGGCTCTTCAACGGGGAGGCTCCCAATATATGTAATTCTAGACATATTTTATTGATCAGCCGGCATTCGAGATAGCCAACACAGCGACGACCACATGTGATTTCCGGGAAATCATTTTTGGCCTTACTGACCTAGCAGCTCTGGTTACTCTTCAAAATAAGTCATCTATGTGGGTTTGAAGCTATGACCACTGGTCCTGCAGGCTAGCAAACTAGCACTGAGCTTTGGTGGCTACCTAACCTATGTATAATGTTCTTAGCACTGGCGACATATGTACGGTTCCCACGCTGCTGCTGGTAATATATCACTACTCACTTATGTTTGTCGTACTTACTGTGCCAATAACACTTTCCCATTTGTATCTGCATGTGATAAAGTCCTAATGTTCCTGGTGAATAATAATAAAAAAAATTTAGATTGTGTTATCGATTTCTTGTGTGTGTATTTTTTATGTTATCACAATATGCATTAATGCACACTTTACCTTAAAAAGGTTGGTTGTAATGTCTCCTATCTTGACCCTGAAGACGACATCGACATGACGTCGGTTGCCAGGATTCACTCATAAGTCACGTAATCGGGTTAATGTCGAAGACTTCTCGTTTTCAACTCACCGTGTGTGTCTGTGCGGTGTTTAGATGGGTGGATTGGTTGCCTATTTTGCACTTTTTTTTCATATTTTCCTGAGTAAACGCCAGCTGTCGTGTCTTATTATTCTGTTTGTTGTCAGTGCTTGCTTCATTGCGCTGTGTAACTGCAGTAGGAAAGGTTAGGCTAAGTTAAACCCCCCTCCCCCCTCCTTTTTTGTTGTTGTTGACAGTGGTACATCGGGCGAGTGAGCGACGTTCATTGCTGCCATGACCACACAAACGTGGGACAAAGCAACTCGGTGACAAAAAATGTCGCCATTCGGATAAGAATATCCCTGACGCAAGTCGTGAAACCCTGTTTACACATTGGGTTAGTTTAGGGCCCCTGACAACAGACAGGGTGGGGCTGTAAAATAAAATATTAACAATTTTGCGTCCTATATGGGAGCGCACTTGTTATGGTGGTGCAATGGGCACATAATGCTAAATTTATATCTGTACGGACCAATCGAATTTCAATGGGTGGTGACGTCAACATCACGCTGGCCGATTATACTTTCCATGGCATTTCTTGGAACCCATTTTAGGCTAAGTCGACCTAGGAAACAAGAAATGAAAAAAAAGTGACATAACAATTGTTTGTGTCGTAAGGGGTATTAGATAATCTGTCTATATCTTTTTTCGTGTCGCTTTTAACCCACAAGGCATTTATTTGCAAGTAATCTCTCTTGCTTAGTCGCAATCATGTAACTCAACTCCCAATATTTTATGTAATTTTTGTTAATTTAAAGCCCCACCTACGGGTTGCACTGGGATTTTCGTCCGTGTGTTTTCATACGAATTGTTGTGTTTTATCGCCCGTTGTGCGGTCCTGAACTTTATCAGTTAATTCTGAAGAAATTTGTTTAAATCGCGACCCAAAATGTAACGAATTTTTGTTTTGTTTTTTGTTGTTGTTGTCGGGAGTAGTAATATAACAACAGTTTACAATGGTTTCTGGGACTTGTGACGGGCTGATTCTTATCAGACTGGTGGCACTTTATGTCACCGGATGTTTATTGTTTCTTGTACGGCCCCAGTAGGGACTGGACGTCATTCAATCATTCTGCAGACCAGTCAACACATCGTTAACCATGTGGTTATTTAAAAAATAAATTATGGGTACAAACATTAAATTGCTCACTTTATTGCATGGCTCGTGAATCGTATGCGATCACTCTCTAGATGCAGACGCAAATAGACGTCTAGGAAAGACAACGTTTTAAATCTCATTAAGAGAGACTGGTCAAACGAAAAGCTGACTGATAATACCAGAATTAAGTTTACGAGTCTAATGCCTTGAGCACGCTACTGTACGGTAGCGAATCATTGACTCTGTATGTTTATCAAGAAAAGGTACTGAAAACCTTTCATATGAGCTGTATGAGGCGCATCCTTGGTATATCATGATGAGACCTTGTCTCTAACGAATGTATACTCACAAGAGCAAAGATACCGTGTTCTGTCTAGGAGCCGCGTTAGCTTAGTCGATAAGAGGCTGCCACTCCCTGCAGCCCACGGTCACTGTTCGAAACCGGACGGCTCCCAGTGTTCACCCAGCCTCTAAGAAATGGGTACCAGAGTTGAAACTCTGGGGTAAATGGAGGAACGTCGCTGTAGCTACAGAGTTACGTGCGAACGGCGACACAGGCGGGTAATTCTTATGAGCTGTCCGTACTGGTGGCAGAGCACTTATGGTTTATAACCGTGTGCAATGAGGCTGATTCACATCTCCCAAATTTAAATTTTTTTACTGAAGCTAAGACGTCTGCGCTAGTTGGGGCATGTCTCCCGCGTGGAGGATTGTTGTTTTCCAAAGAACCCTCTGTATTGTGTACTGGAAACAGTGAATAGACCTCCAGTACATTATAAAGACAGGCTAATTTGAGCTAAAAGATACCAACATAGAACAGAGACCAGTAAAATTCACCTGCAGATCAACTACTATGGCAACAGAAAGTGAAAAAGATATTGTCACATTTTGAAATAAAGTAAAAGCAGCGAGCTTTAGAGAGGAGACAGCGATCAGAAAATCAGCCTCATATCGAGGGAGTATCTACTTTTTGTGTGAATCCTATGTGACAGAGGGAGTTGCCGTGGTGGAGCAGCTAGACGCTCGCCGTGGATCGAAAGGTCGTGAGTTCGCTACCTGGCGAAGCCGGACTTTTTTTTAAATGTCCTTGTCTCAAGGTCGACCCAGCCTTGAGTGGGTACCGGGTGCAGTCCCGGAAAGTAAAGGCGGCCGGTGTGATGCTGACCACCTCACCCATCTTGTGCCGATTGGTGTATAAAAATATAGGTCTAGCCCTACATGTCCTATACGCCTAAAGGCGTGGAGAAGGGTCCTTTACTTACTTTACTTACTATGTGGCGGAGGCTACCACTTGAGCATCGGACTTTACATTTACAGCAGATGTTGATTAGAAAGCCAGCTGCTCATCTTCATATTCCCCAGGGAATGATTGATGCCAGTATTTTATCTTTTAGTGCCTGGCATGTTTCTCTGTATATCTTCGGATGAATCACTACAGAGTTACATAAACATAAAATTCAACACAAAACGATTTACTTGGCATTTGAATACACAAATCACATTGTCTCAAGTTACTGTACATCTTATCAACGGAAGTTCAAGATTTGCCTCGTGGCTAACATGGAATATTGAGATTATCCAAACATGCTTTCAGGGCCAATATCATGTTGTCGTTTTTACTTCCCTGAACAGTTATTTCTACTTATTTAAAGCTGGGTCTTCCTTGGAGCAGAGATTAATTTTCAATGTATCAAAGCTGTTTTTAGGATTCGAGCACATTAGAAATGAGATGGCTGTAGGCTGGTAACTTAGCTGTCATAATTGCAGCACCATCATCTTCATTATGTAGCAGATCCTTTGCAGAACGTCGCTCTTATCACAGCCTGCTTAAAAAAATCTGTTTATCGGAAGCTCTCC